GATGACAAAACCTATGGCGTCCCCCATCACCGCCTTATCGACCACTACCACTTTGTCCAAGACGTTGTCTTATCCTCTGACAGTATGTTCGTGCTTTTCGGAAGCTGGGACATTAGTTCCATATCCGGGACCTCCAGACTGATGCTACAACTCGCTAATTTGTTGGGCACACTAAGGATGTGCTATCGATTGCATTTTTTTGTTGATAACAGGCAAATTGTTTCTGCTTTTGCATGGGATAGGATTAATGGATCGTAGGATAGGACGGGTGGGTCCTTATGCACGGGTGGTTGGAAATATGGGGTGATAATGCTATGGGATTTGGCAGGAGCGAAGAAGCTATACTCGTCGGAAACTGTAAGGGGATGTTCTCTTTGCATTTCAGTTTTATGTTTTGAGTTTTGAATTCATTTTGGACTTTGTATTTTGAGTGTCTATTTTGAGATTGTTAAAAATGTTTTTTTTTTTTTTGACATTTTGAAAACACCCAAAACGCGTTTTGGAAATTTTGACTTGATTATAATTGAAAGCACTCGTTTTAAGTTTCCTTTGTAAATTTTTAACTTGTTTTCAAAAATGAGTTTTCGAAAATAAGAAAGAGAACGCATTTTCACTGTTTTTGGAAAATCAAAAATAGAAAATGATTTGAAAATGGTAAAGAGAACGGGCCTTAAGTTTTTAGTTTTTGGTTGTAAGTTTTGGATCCGGCAGCGGTTACAATTTTCAAGTGGTTGCATTGGCAATTTTGGTGCGATGAATTGGTGGTGGCGACATTGATGGCTATTTTTGGTTTCGAGTGGGGGTGGGGTGACAAAGGTCCTTTTTTGTTTGTTTTAATTATATTAATTGTTTTATGGGGATAAATATCAAAGTTACTATTAGACCCTTTTAAAATTTGGTTAAAATTAACTATTTTGGTCAACTAACGGTCAATCCATCTGGACTCCAAAAGCTAATTTCTCAAAGGTTTGAGACTTTCGTTGTCACAAATAAAAGACTAGGGTAAAGTATGCAAAAAAAGTGAAAGGTTCTAGACGTTGTTGCAATTTTCCCTAGATTTAATGAAAAATGATTTTGTCGGAGATGTGTGGTTAAAAAGTAGGAAAAATGATGTGTCAATGTACAAAAAAATTATTAGGAGAATGTTGGTTGAAAATGAATTCTAAATAATCTATACCAAACATGACCTAGTTTTTGAAATAGCAATTTACTAAATTCTCCTCAAAGTTTTGATGAAATTAAAATATGGGAAAGGATTAAAGGACTTGAGCATCATTTCAATAGATAAAAATGGTAAACGCCTTTTATTTTGGGGAACTTTTGCTTACGTAAGGATTATTGAACAAGAAAATTTAACTATTAATTGCATCCCTCGTATAATTCGAGGGATCAAAAATTGATGAATATAGCTTTTCTATATATATATATATATATACAGAAATGATCTAATGAGCACCGTTGCTTATCTTATTCTAAGCACCGATGAGTTAGCACATTAATTCATTGGTGGATAAAGATTTTGTGCTTATGATAAGATGAGCACCGGTGCTCATTAGATTATTTCTGTATATATAGATAACATAACTATTGAGGGATCAAAAATTTCTTGTAGAAAATAATTACTTAATCATAAGAATACATTTCAGTTGTACCCTGTGTGTATTCAGCAGCAGCGGAGAAGTGTATTTACCAATAATTAGAACCTCCTCGTTAAGGCCTTCAGTGGAAAACGACAGTGAATCGGGTTCAAAATCCAAAGTTTATCACCTTGATAATGTTCCATCCAATCAGTCCAATTCTAATAAATGTGGGCATTAATGGTACGGTCTTCCAAATGAATCGTGTTTTCAGTTAAAAACAATAAGCCAGGAGCAGTGGTTGGGTCACAAACTTGTATTGTGAAGGACAAAGGGGAGAAATGAGATGAGAGGTTATTCTGTCGCTTTCACCTTGGAAATATATATTCGGAATACAACCGTGCTACATTCACACTTTCATTTGTACCTTTTTTTAACAAAATTTTCATTATTTTTCAACCACATATTCACAATCATATCACCAANAAAAAAAAAAAAGGTTGAATCCCAACCTTGAGGCTCCCCCATTGCCCCGCCTCTAGAGCATTTTGGATGAGGTAAATCGCAGAATGTGCCTAAGCAGACCAGAGTACAAGAGCTGTCATACTGGTGCCTACAAAGAGTCAAATTTCATACCTTGTAAGAGGCAGTAATCGAACCCTCACACTGCAACTACCAGCTCAACTGAGACTACCTTACTCATGTCCTTTGCACCACTGATGCTATTCTTCAGGATATATGTTTTGGAAAGGAGTGGTACTTGGCTCTCATAGAAATAAAATGTCAAATGCTTGTCATTAATATTGCTCGATTAAATTGGTAAATAGTTAGCCCTTGTTTGACATTCATTATTTGAAATTGTTTTTTTACTACATATTCATTTTCAAACACACATTTATACAATAAAGTATTTTGCACGTAAATTCAAATATTTTTCTACTTTTCAACTATACATTCTCCTAAAAAATCACTATTGAAAACGCCGTTTTTGAGAATAAAATTGCCATTAAACATGAGCTTATTCGGACACTTGATTTTAAAAGCTCGGTGATAATAATTTGACAAATTGTCGACTTTGAAATGATGCTCATGTTGACACACAATGTGTACAAAAAAAGTTACGAGGATCCTGGTGTAAAATTGGGTGTAAGCCAAAATCTTTAAAATCACTTTTACATACTCATTTACATTCGATGAACTTAAATCCAAATTATCCTATAATAAAAATATTTAAGTTCATTTTTTGCCTTTTATGGATGTAATCGAGAAATGTAATTTGAATTTCCTTTGTATCTTTTTGGAAAGATTTTCGATCACTTTAGATAACTAAATCACAATTTAAATTTATTTTACACCATGTTGGAGAGTCGGTGCTATTTTTTTTTCTGTAAATATGAATCATATTGATCAAACTAGTTTACAAGTACACTGGGCATTCTCAGGCAAATCACAAATCAAGTCCGTCATACAAGTACAACTGATATACCCGGACAATCACAAATAAAGTACTCATACAAATACACAGGGCATATCCGGACAATCAAAAGTAAAGTACTCATACAAGTACATTGGGCATACTTGGGTAGACAAAATGCAAAGACGTACAAACGATAAGATCTAGCAACCTAGTGTTATAGACTCATATTGAGTCAAAACATTCAGATACAAAGAAAACATAACTTTGTATACGTATAATTTGACTAATCTAACAGTATTGTCCACATGTGGTCTAAGATCCTAAAAAATTCTCTTGTTTCTGGCCATCCAAATATGGTAGACAATGGTAGCCAATGCAACCCTCTTAGCCTTGCTTTGCCACGACGTACCTCTAGTTTCCTTCTTGATCCACTTCAGTGCGCTAGTGATGGATGTCGTTTATCTTCTAATGCCCAACCATTTCTTGATAATCGTCCAAACATGAAACGAGAACGGCCATTGGAAGAATAGGTGTTGACATGTTTCCTCTTACCCGCTACAAAAAACACTAGTGCCGTCAATGTTGAGATGTGATAGTCTATCTTTCATGAGCAATTTAGATTGTGCTCCCAGCCAAAGGATGAAAGAGTGCTTTAGAGTAATGTATGATCTCCAAACTTCAGTAGTCCATGTCCTCTTAACCCCAATGTGATTGAAGAAATGGTAAGCCATGTCCATGTGATAGTGACCAGAATCTGTCTATTCCAACATACTGTTAACAGCATATTGCGTGTTCCCAGCCTGTGCAGTGATCTGATCTCAGATATCCCATAATCTTTTAATCAGGGGCGAGTTACATTTATGTCCAGTATACTCCCAAAAAGTAGTCACCTTTAAATAGACAGTGTTAATCCATTTAACCCATAGTGAATCTTTCTTCGTATGTATATTCCACAACGTTTTTGACAATAGTGCTGAATTCCAACTTTTTAGATCTTTGAAACCAAATCCTCCCTCATCTTTTTGTAGGTAGATATGGTTCCAAGCAACCAAAGGTTTTTTAGACCCCCAGAGGAAGTTCCGACAGAAGCTAATAACCTTTGAGATAACTGTGGCTGGAATAGGAAAGATAGAGAGCCAAAAACATTCAACTCCTCGGAGGACATCTCTAATTAGTTCCGCTCTTCCAGCATAAGACAACGATGCTCTAGACCAAGCATGGATGTAGGCTAAGATTTTGTTGAGAAAGGAATCATAGGAACTGATTTTAAGCTTCTCCGAGCAAGGGGAATACCCAGGTATCTAAATGGCATAGATCCCTTAGGCATAACAGCAAAGCCATAAATATCATCAAGCTCTTGCCCAAACACTCTAGCCGTGTACAAGCTAGATTTATCAACATTCATTTTGAGACCCGACATGTCTCCAAATTTAGATAGACAATCCATCAAGATGCCTATTGAGATACCATCACCTCTAGAGAAAAGCATTAAGTCATCTGCAAATGCCAAGTGTGCGATTTTTAAGAGCCCACATTTAGGATGAAAATTATACTCACTAATTTTGGTAACCCTCTTTAACATTTTCGAGAAGTATTCAAGACAAATCACAAATAAGAAAGGAGATAGGGGTTCGCCTTGCTGAAGCCCCTTTTTACATTTAATGAATCCATGAAGGCATCTATTAAGAGCAATAGAATATGCCGACGTCGTAATACATTCCATCAACTCAACCAATGAATTTATTTGGAAATTCTAACCCATGAAGCGCACTTTTCTCTCTGAAGAAAGGGTGAAATCCTTATTATCTTCGGAAGCGAGGATTACTTGTACATTAACACGACATCGTTTATGGAAATCGTGAACCCTTCTCCCGCCACATAACTGTTTACGTTCGTAATTAGCCCCTCTCCCCTCAAAATATCAGAACCTTTCCCTTTCAATAAAAAACAATCCCATATTCCGGGTGCTAGCCTTCTAAAGAATTCCACGCAAAATCATGGCGAAAATGATAAATCCACAGACTTTAACCCTCACTCCGTTCACATCTCTTCTTTTCCCATCTATCCACGCTCCAAAATCACTGTTCCATTCCCAATCTCTTGCAATTTCAACTAAGCCCATCTGTAAAATTCGTTATACAAGGAGTCTGATTGGACCGTCTTTTGTAGCCAAAGCTTCTACCACTGCGGCTGTTCCCGATGACATCACGGATGTGCTCGGGGATGTCGGCATCTTCACCGCCACTGGCGAGCCCGTCAAGTTCAAGGACCTCTGGGATCAAAAGGAGGTACTCTTTATCCATTTATGTATCATATTTTTGTTATTTCTTTTGGATAAATTATGAGAACTTAACTCTTCATTAATTGTATAAATTTTATAAGTAGCGTTTTATATGAACGAATTTAGAGAAATGTAATTTTCATAGTAAAACATATTGGAAATTACAGAGGGGAATTAAAGTTTTTCTACGTGAAAAAGTAACAAATTGTTATAAAATTTGTCTCTGCTAAATTAAATCCATTCAATCTGGGACAGAGTGGACATATAGAATATGGCTTGAAATGGTTATCGGACTAGAAAATTACTCGATAGATTTTTTGTGGAAAGAAAAATAGAATCAATATACAAGGTAGTCTGACTAGGATTTATTTTGGCATTTAATTTTGGACAGATTGAGAATATAAAATATGACTTAATTTTATTTAGCGAACATGATAATCGGGTGTAAGAGCACCTTCAAAATATTTTGAGTTTGAAAAGTCTGAGAAATCTCAGCTCTTGTGACAAAGAAATGGGAGGATTTATTTGCTGCTCAAGCCAAACTGTACCCTAGGGCCTAGACGTGATACATTGATGAATGCCAAATTATGTTCAAGTTCAACCTTGACTTAGTTTAGGTTAGTTTGCAAATCAATGTCAAACACACTTTTTAACAACTGATTCCAAGCTGAGCTTCGACTAGTGATGACTTTTAACTAGTACATAAAACAAAATGACCTCTGCATGCTAACCCGTGGCCAGATAAAAGTGTTTAAAGTATGATAGCCGTTAGAATCTTAAAGGTTGTTAGGCATAGTTTTATAGTTATTTAATATTTCTCTATTTTAAGCGAGTTAAAGTTTTGTACCTCCCTCCTCTCCTTACCTTATGTAGGTGTCAAGTGAGAATCTCATCTAAACATAACTAAAAATTTAATAAAAATGTTTCAAAAAAAAAAAATTTAATAAAAAATGCCACGCTATTACTATTTTTTTTCTCAGCATATGTATTGACAATGATATTCCAAGCTATGATGCTCGAACTCGGGTACGGGTATGTATTTAAGTGTCGGATCTTTTATTTTTTAAAATGTAAGATACGGGGACATAACTAATAAGAGTCCAAATTTCGGACACGGGTACGTGGGTGCGTCTTTCCAATTTTTTTACTAATCCAGGATTTCATTTTGAATAGACAAAAATTAATTATTCACAATGAAGGAAATGAGTATTTAATAAGGGGTTAAGACGAATAAAATAGAATTTTGGGGTTTCGTTTTCAATAATGAGAATTACTAAATTTTATATAAAATAGAAAATGAGGAACTTGATTGTAATTTGGACTTAATGAAGCACTAAGTAGCACTGTATGGAACTCATTTTCATTTTATACAAACAAAATCCTAAATCACCGATATAGAGGGAGAAAGAAGGAAAAAAGAAGAAAATGGAAGGAAAAAAGAAAGAAGAAGAAAAAGAAGGGAAAAGGTAACATCTCAGTCTTTCTCCACCTTGGCGACGACGCTAGGTTTATAGAGAGTAAAAATGGGAAAGAAGAAAAGGGGAAGGAAAAAAAAAAAAGCAAAAGAAGGAAGAAGAAGCAAAATGACGAAGTATCCGGTTAAAATTTGAAGGATCCGACATATATCCCATACCCATGTTGTGTCGTGTCCGACACGGTACTCCAACTATTTCAAAGAGTCCGAGCATCAGAGATTTCAAGTAGAATGTGAAGGAGCACCGACAAATTTTCAAATTTTTCTCATGGATCTTACCAATGAAACTCAGCAATCAAACTGGAGAGGAAGGTAAGAAATAACCACAAAAGAGAAGATAAAAATGAGTGATACAAAATCTATACTAACTCTGTCCATTGGGAGTCCTACCACTACAAAGGGTCTCCCCTCTAGATTTTCAGCTATAGTGGCAGCTCAAATTCACTAAAGATCAGGAGCAACAATCCCTTTGAACTAGTTGGCAGGCTTAACCAACATAGAGCAAAAACAACAACTTGGATAATTAAGAAGAGAATGCTCAAATGATTTCCCAGTGAGACTCACTCAAACATATTTTGATTTGGGGTTTTCATGTTCAGCTGATCAAAAAGCCTCTAAATCGTCTGATATCATAACAATCTTCGACGCAGTGGTTACAACTGAAACTGTATAGACAACCTCATAAGTAAAGGGCTTGAAAAGTATAAAACTTAAGATTTTCATTTAGTTGCGAGAATGCTAAAAGTTCTGTTTTCAGGGTATATATTCATAGGAAGCTATTCTAAATATTGGTGTTCAACAGATAATATTAGATTGGATATAATCGTATAAATCAGGAATAATTACAGTTGTTTGAAACTAAGTCAACTTTTAATATATCAACCATTTTGAATGTCGGCGTCGTGAGCCAATCAGAACGAGTTCACCATGAGTGTTGGAATTAGTTCAATATCATAAATATATTAATTGAAAATGCGAGTACGAGTATAGCTCAAAGTTCAAATACAGCTCGGAGTGAAAGTTCTTGGTCAAGTATATACGTAGGACATCTAAGATTTGTGTTGGACATTTAAAACTTGGTTCTGGACACACCTGAGGTAGTCGCTGACTTCTGAAGCTTATAACATTCACACACTTAAGTCATGAAAATGGCGTTCTTTCCTAAAATAAGTTTTATGCCCAAAGTTTAGATGAAGCCTAAAATAATGAAAACAATAAGTTAGCTCCAGCCAGGCTCTATGTCAGCAAAGTTGTGTAAGTCTGAAACACTACTTAGATGTTTAGGTTTGGTGGCTAAGTTCGGTTCCAAATGTCTGCAGTGAATATAGTTGGAACTTTTGCCAAGCATTGTGCTACTTGAACTTGATTTACTCATCACATTTTTTTTATAAGTCCCAGTCCAGTGGTTTTAGTTGTTTGGAATCATCAATACTTTTATTTGACAAGGAGGCATGTTCAACACGTTAAATGTAAGGTTCTTTCTGTTAAAAGAAGCATTATAGGTCCTTTCTGTTCCTAATTTTTGAATTTTAAACTGAAATATTCTTTTTAGGGAATGGCTGTTGTTGCGCTGTTGCGGCATTTTGGATGTTTTTGCTGGTAAACCATGAATCACTTGACCCCATTAACTTCCTTACAATAAATGAATTCAAGAATTTCCATGTTCAGCCTTTTGATGTGCTTGTTTTCATTGCATATTAGCTGGGAACTTGCGGAGGCCCTCAAAGAATCGAAAGGAAGATTTGACTCTGCTGGTGTTAAGCTGATTGCTGTTGGTGTTGGTACTCCTAATAAAGCTCGTCTTCTTGCTGAAAGGGTAATTTTACCCTTTACATTTAAAAATAAAAAAAATTGATAAATTTATGCTTAGAAATTTAACTACGGCTTTTATTTGGAATATAAATTTTATTTTATTTTTTTTGTCAAAAGTGGCATTTTATCTGAGGTAGCAGTTTAAATGTGATAGACTCATTTCAAACTTGCACATCAGTTCATTAAAATCAAAATTTGGTCAAGTTGGTTTCAATGAAATGGTTAACTCAGCTAATTTATTCTAAACTTTTTCGCTAACATAGGTACCCAATTGTTATTCATGTTATCATCCGCCACATTATATTCACTTTCTTTGCTGGAGACCTGCATTGCGTGACTCAACTGTATTCATCTTTTAACCCCCTTGTTAGGGTGAAAATACCTCAACTAATATATTCCATTGGAAAATGTAAGGGGTACATAATTAATTTGTTTCTCCCGTTCATATCCCATTGTAATGCGCACTTGGAAATGTAAGGGGATCCTAAGTGATGAAACATTTTTCTTTTGTTATCACTGAACCAACTTAAAATTTATTCCTTTTGTGTTGGTGCTAGTTCTGATTCCTAATACTGATTTATGGGTACTGTTAGTTACCTTTTCCACTGGATTGCCTTTATGCTGACCCTGAACGTAAGGTAACAGCTTCTACCTCTTCCAATTGAGATTATTTTGTTTGCCATAAGCCTAAACTAATTTCTTACACCTTTTTGGTATTGCAGGCTTATAATGTTTTGGGCTTATATTATGGACTTGGCCGGACGTTTTTCAATCCAGCGAGTGTATCTCATCTCAGCCTTTTTCCTCGTTCAAAAGCTATCTTATCTAAAATTTGAATTACTCGTCTTCTTTTTACCGAGCTTTAGTTTTTCTTGTCTTTCACTCGACAGGCCAAAGTATTTTCGAGAATGGAGGCTGTGAAAAAGGCTATGAAGAACTACACAATTAAAGCCACACCAGATGATAGGAGTGGTGTCTTGCAACAGGTTTTGTTTTGTCCTCCTATGCTGTCTATCTTAGTGTAACCAACTCACGAGTTGTACTAAACCAATAATATGATTACGTGTGTTTTTATTAGGGAGGGATGTTTGTGTTCAAAGGGAATCAACTGCTGTATGCAAGGAAGGATGAAGGGACTGGGGACCACGCTCCCTTGGATGATATCTTTGATATCTGCTGCAAAGCTCCTACTGTGTGACAAAGGATGAGGGGACTGGTTACCTTACTCCTTGGAGGATGCCCCAATTCCATCCATTGCAACTTGACTACCAGTTAGAACTGTTCGTGTGGATTGACTATTTTATATCTTATCAATACCTACGACTATTGAGGTGAGTTTTTAATTGTAGTGCAAATTTTATTTAGCAACATATCTCTGTCTTCAGTTAAATGTCGGCTGTCTTTTATACAAATATTTTTCTAATTTGATGTACTAAGTTATGGGGGGAAATTGAGTTGTTTGTTAAAACTAAATGTGGCCCCAGATACAAACTATCAGATGTAAATACCCACATTATCATATTACAATTACCTGGCCATGTGATTTTACAATTTATCAGCATCTTGTGATTATTCTTGTCTTGTGCAAGATCAGCAAAAAAAGTTGTCTTTTTTTTTTTTTTTTTTTTTATGTATAAAAAAACCTGAAGAAAATTATAAGAAGAAAGTTCATTTGTTACTGTATTAGAGTTTCAAAAGAACGGTTATTAAATCTTTTAGTATGATGTCTTGTGTGACTCATCATATTCATAGAGTTTCAATGGAACCATTGTAATACCAGTTTGTATAAACGAGTGTATTATTGAACTTCTATTTATTGATGTGACACCAGAGAAATATAACATTTGTAACAAATACATCATTCTATTACAGGCATTCAAAATAATTTTGATTTGTAATTTGAATGAGCCTGAATGTAAACTGGGCTTGATTAGTTGGATGTAATGCACACAAATAGCACTCAATGGATGCGGAAACAATGAGTAGTATTCTTTAGTAGACCTAGACTGCATGTCTCTCTGCATTTGAAAAAATGCATAACTATACTTTTTGTGTGCTTGATAAGGCAAACCCTGATTTTATCGCCATCTTATAATTTGGTTTAGTTACTTAAATTAATTTCTTGAGGTGTTAGATTTTATTACAGTATCGTCCTTTATCCTATTAAATCATTAAAATTAAAAGAACTTTGAAATCATTGGTTGTTTAAGACTTGTACAACGTGTCTAAGCAAACTGAGGATCATTGTGAATACACGAGCTAAAGCTTCATTTTCCCTTTCTTTCCATGTTTTTTCTTAATTTTTTTTTCCGCGGGTGCCTTATTTTGGTACTTATATTTAGGCATGGACTTGCTACAAAATGATTGCTTGTTTTGATTGTATTGGGACCTGTACTGTATGGGAGTGTAATTGTCAATAGAGGTGGTTCTTATCAGTTCACTTATTCAGTTATTTGCCTCCCCTTTCTTTTTCCCCAGTGTTACTTTTCTTTGATTTACTCCTAAATATTAGTTTTACAATAATTTGAAAAAATCGGAACAGTAATACTGAAAAAATATTAAAGAAAACATGAGTTATATGAGTTGGATGGGTGTCATTTCCAATACATCAAACTTGTTCATTCCAAATTGAAAAGAAGCCCATATTTTGTTATGCTTTGTCCTGTCTGATGAGGCTTCAAGTATTGGCCATGAGGCAGCCAATTAGTAAGCAGTCATATTTGTTCTCTTAATACTCCCGATGTCCAAACACTATTGTGGTACACGTCTTTCGTACGTCACACACTCTAATATACTTATACAAGTTGACTGATTTGATCATCGGAGTACTCGTGACCGCCTCTTCACTTTCAGAGAAGGCTATGTGTTTTTAACGATTTGTCCAAGTGTGTTAGAGATAAACTACGTGTGTGAGTGGAGCCGATATCCATTGGCCATGTCACCCGTGCTCAAATTGAGGTCAACATATTTCATAAATACTTAAAATTTGCTGTTCAAGTCTTTAGTCATTCTACATGTACAGTTATTTTTAACCTCGTTAATGGCAAATGTAGTGGCAGCCATATTCCAGGTCCATTTTAGTAGACATGAAAGGCACTTGTGATGACATAAGAAAGTTAAAGGGGTTGGATTTTCTTGAACTATCCCCCCACCACTCAGAGAGAAAGAGAGAGATTACTATTTTTACTGATGAATTGACTGCTTTGTGTGAGACCCAGCTAGCTTTTCTTCTTTTAGACTCTGTTTGGACTAAGAAGAACCGTAGGATCTTGAGTATTTCGTTGGTTGATTGCATTGGGATGCCTTAAACATATATGCTGTTATGTAGGGTTGCTGCTGTCCTGTTATTTCTTGGATATGGCTTTTCTCTGTGGCTGATGCAAAATCTAATGGGGTCTATTCAGGAATCAGGGCTATGAAATACACACACTTGCGCTTAGTTAATAGGCATGCAGACACATGTAATACAAAGGGAAATTATATAAGTTTTGATGGGCCAATGACCATGTACCTCTAGATAGAGAGGATCTTAGGTGAATATGACTTGACACTCATGCTTTCGAGGGAGGAGTGGAATTGGCATGAAGTATCTTTTACTAAAAAAGGGAATAAATTCAAAAAAACTTTTGGTTCTCACACATAAACCAGTATGCTACGGCCTTCTCTGGTCGTTCTCAGTGAAGTTGATATCTAGTATCTGCTTATCCTGTTGACTCGTCTTGCCCATTGCTGTATTTAATTGTCTTCCCATTAGGAAACCTATTTCTTCCCACTACCCCCCGGCATTCATTAAAGTGCATTTCATTACTTCTTTTGTTTTTATTGTATTTGTCTTTGACGACGACAACTAGCAATGCATATGCACATTTTAACTCACAATTTGCTCGACTCCCTGAAAGAACCCGTTCTAAGCGCATGGAGAACGGCCAAGATTTTAACTTTTCTTTTAATACTATTTAGGACAATATACAAGACAATGTCCATAATGCAGAATATTAAGAGCCTGTCATTTTTAAAAGATCTTTAGTAAGAAATAATTTTACACACAATGCGATCAATTTATGTTTATTTTTGGAAATTGTGTTTAGTTGTAATGCAAACATATAAAGGGTTTGTTCATCTTATTGATATCATATGACAAATAGCCACCCATTGTCTTGCATTACCTTGTTAACTTTAGCCGACGCATTTGATACTGTAACACTCTCCTTAGATTAAAGAGTAACAAGCATGTTAAATTCTAGATATGGGGCCTGGGCGTGGTTTGGTTTGGGTTGGTTTCGACCTCAACCCGAAACCAAAATCAAAGTAGTCGGTTTGGGTGAATTTAAAACTAAAACCGACTCACTCTCTTTTTTAAACCGAACTAACCCAAACCACATCGGTTTGGTTTGGTTTCTCGGTTTGGATTTTTAGATAATATCGTATTTTAATTTATAAAGAATGGACGCAGACAGTGAACAAAAGATCAATAATTCAGACTCAAAACATATATCCAAGTACCAATAACCAAAA